CATACTCATACGTACATACATACATACATACATACATACATACATACATACATACATCTACACATATTCACATACGCATATAAACGAAACACACAAGTTATCATGTGCATATACATGTGTGTATATATCTGTATATATATATATATATTATGTATATGTGCACACCCATACATGCATGCACGCATGTACCATGTTGGGATTACGAGACGCCCAGTCCTGCGCCCTCACTGCTGCGGAGGCTTGCCGGAAGCAAAGGAAGCCATATCTTGAAGGGAGCACGGTTTACGGTTTATACGGCTTAGGGATGTGTAGGGTTTAGAGATGAACTGGGGTTTCGGGCTCAGGGTCTTTGGGATTTGTCGATGGCAGGACGTCCACACTAGTCCGACGGTGGAGTAGGGAGTGGCCCGCGCAGGCACGCAGGAGGTTGGCAAACAGCAGAGTTTGTGAACCCTAAACCCTAAACCCTAAACCCTAAACCCTAAAGAGCTTCCGCTTGTTGGGGAGGCCCAGGGGCCCAAACCCCGAATTGTCTGGCAGCGATCGATCCCTAAACCCTAAAACCCTGAACCTCTAAACCCGACACCTTAAACCCCTAAACCCTAATCCCTAAACCCCTAAACCCTAAACCCCTAAACCCTATAAGCCCTAAAACCCCTAAACCCTAAAACCTATATTATATACCCTAAAGCCCTAAAAACCTATAAGCCCTATAAACCCTAAACGCCTATAAACCTAAGCCCCTAAACCCCTATAAACCCACTTCAGCGGCCTCTGTAGTCGCCTTCGCCTAAGAGCATCGGCTGCTGGGGCGTGGCGGCGTTGGAAGCGAGCCTGAAGCGGGGTTAAGGGTTTAGGGTTTAGGGGTTTGGGGTTTAGGGCTTTAGGGTTGTAGGNNAGGGCTTAGGGTTTAGGGTTGAGGCAAAAGATGTGCGCTTTCGCGGTCTTCGGGGATTCGGAAGTTTTCCAATAACTTCGGCTATTCGGAAGTTGTCCAAGAATGTCTCAACTTCACCCAGAATTCTCTTACAAGCAGGGTTTCGGGTTGGGGTTTTTAGGGTTTTGGGTTTGGGGTTTAGGGTTCTATGACAGTCTGTAGAGGCTCGCCCCCCGGCCACTTCACCGCTCTTGGCCTCGGTGAGTGCCCGACGCCATGCAGCCAGGACCACCTCACCGGACTTCTGGAAGTTGGATTTTTCCGTATAAGGCTTGATGTTTAGGGGTTAGGGGTGTTTTAAGGCGCGCATGCTATATTGCCATGCAGTGCGTGCACGAGACATGTTGTGACTGGAACCCTCACAACCAAAGTAGCGCAGAAAGATAGCAGAGCAACCACGACCACAAGTTCCATCGCCCCTTCCTTGCAAGGTGAGTTTTCGTAGATCACGGTGTCGAGGAAGTCTGGCAAGATGTTGCTTTCCCCTCCGGTGATGTCGCCAAACTCCTACACGGGTTCTTGAGCCTCACGGCCAGCTGAAGATCCTTCACCCAGCAGCTGCAGCTGCTGAATGGCCGCAAGTCCCGACATTCCCCACATTCAACTTCCGTGGCTGCCGGCGGCCGTGCGCCAACCTCCAAGTTCAAGATGCCAAGCTCGCTCCCTTGGAGCCTGGCCACACCTTCCACTGCGACACTTTGCAGTCGCAAGGGCATCAGCTGAATGTGTTTTGCCCGTATAGTCTCGCTGCCGGTGCTGTGCGTGTGTNNNTCGACCATCCCTCTCTTCCAGTGTCCCCAGCTTAGTACTTCGGTGAAGGATCATCTTGGGAAGAGCCTTGTTCCGGCCAAGTGGGCTGCCTTGCCAAGTGTCCAATTCCAACCCAAGCCGCCCGGCTTGGGGGGCGGGCCCATGGAGGTTCGGGTGCCACATCCCTCCCCAAATCCTAGGCTCGGATTGCGGGGCCCGGAGCACCCCAAGGTCGACACGCACTCACCCACTGACTCACTCACTCACTCGCTTGACGTCCGCGGCGACATGATATGCTCGATAGTTTCAGTGGGTTTCGATCAATGCTGCTTTAAGCTTTGCAGGCCACAGGTATCTACTCACGGTTCCCACCAAAAAAATCATATTCTCCCCTAAATAGTAAAATAGATAACTACTATCCTAAACCCAAGGTACCTTTTTATTGGGTCCTTTGGACTTTTAGGGTTCCGCCGCAGAGGAAGCGTTCTTCTCCGGCCTCCCGCGTACGACGAGCAGCAACAACGCTGCGCCGTCGATGCCGCATCAAAGCCTTCGTTTAGTCTTGGTGCGTACGATTTAGGGTTGAGGGGTGTGCTGGCATTTCGCGACTAATTATAGAACCACGAAAATTACCAGAATTACTGTCAGTAACTATGGTAACTGCCCCAAACCTCGTAAAAGGTTTGCCCAGCGCTGAGCTTGACACTTTGAAAGCATTTATAGATTCTATTCTGTCGTAATATATTTTACTATATCAGAATTGTACTATATCATACTATGTATTCGACAATGGTGTAGTAGCTTGTGTTTGTCTGTACATGCGCAGGCTGCGTAGGATATAAGCCTGTACAGAAAGAGCATTAAGCTACATAGATTAAAAGTCTTAGGCACAGAGTTGCACGTAGTTGACTACGTGCCCCACCCAGCCAAATCTTAGTCTGACTTGCGCACGCATTACATCTCGACCTTCGTGGCACCACATGGCGACGGTGATATGGTCAGAGTTCCTAGACTCTATATTTAAACCCTAACATTACGTTGAGCAGCAACCACAGCTCGAACCAACTCTGCAAAACCCACAGCAGTAGTGCTAAGCTACTAGTACCTACCTGTTGGACAGCAAAGCAGCGAAACCGGCAAACCAAACATGGTGCAAGGCACTTCGTAAGAATATCCTTGTGGCGTGATTGGGACCTAGGCTGTGTTCTTAACTTACTCGAGATGTTGCTTCCAGTGTCTTCGGCAACAGTGCAAAGTGCAACTACTCCAGACCTGTTTAATTTTGGCATGCGACCAACTGCGTCAATTCTGACGCCTTGTCGCGTTTCCATTTTGCGATCTCTGATGTGGGTGCATCAGAACACGCATTCACCTGATCGTATAGCCCTGTCTACACTCCCCAAACCCTATAAACCCTAAACCCTAAACCCTAAACCCCAAACCCTAATAAACCCTAAACCATGGAACTCTGATGCAGCCGACTCCTTGAGAAATAGTAGAAGCAGGTCAGTCTTGCGAATTTAAGCCCTAAACCCCAAACCCCAAACCCTAAACCCTAAACCCCTAAACCCCTATAGGTATACCCTATGCATCCCAAGCCCCCTGAACCCCTCCGAAGCCCTGGCTGCGCAGCGGCCTTCGTGTGTCGGCGCCAAATCCGGAGAATCCCTGGCATCGTTTTTCGAAGCCTGGGATGGAATCCAAAGGGCCCAAGTACTAATATGGTAGCTACGTTGTAAACCCTAAACCCTAAACCCTAAACCCTAATGGTAGCTACGTTGTAGGTATTTGGGCCCCCAAAGTATATACTAGACTGTAACTTGGACCCTTTGGGGAAGGAAGGTCTTCGTAGACTTTGCAAGGAAGTCCTACGAGGTGTCAATGGTGCGTAAGGGGCATCGCTGCGTCATCGAAACTGCAGCAGGAGCACAAGACTAAGAGCCTATGCCGCCAGGTACTGATTCTACATGATCCTGCTATATGCAAGGTCCACAACTTAAGCCGTTTATGTCCCGACACGCCAAACACAGGCGAACCCGAAACCTCGAAGCCTGTAGCTAAGGCACCAGATCATCCTCCGTCGCTGCTGCCGCAGATGCTCCAACTTGATTGCCCTTGGGGCGAAGCACGGGTTCTTCAGGGTCTTAGTGTATACAAAATCTAGAGTTTAGAGACAGTTTGGGTTTTTGTGTCGGTTCAGGCCTTCGGAAATTTAGGGTTCAGGGCCTTCGGACCGATGGTCTCTAAGGCTCTAAGGGTTTTGGTATTAAGGCTCTGTGGCCTAAGGGTTGAGGGTTGCAGGACAGTGGTCCTGACGACAAAGCAAACTTGGCTTCCGTCGGTCTTTTCTACACACCCCGCAGGGAATCCAAACGTAAGGTCGCTGGATTCAGAATCTGTGTGGCTAGTGCACTCATTGCCTTCATTGATTACTGCTGTGACGGTTCATGTGCGGGGGACAACTGCTGACTGAGCACTCCACCTCCAGCTGCTTTTAAACCCTGACGGGCGCATTGAAACTGCTCTTTTCAAATGAACTGCCTAGAACCTTGGCTCTGAACCTACTCCCCCATCTCCAGGCTTGTATGCAGCTGGAGGTGGCGGAGGAGGAGGGAGTTGAACACGATGCGGTGACCATTTACCAAGCCAAGCAATCATATGAACACTTAAAAACAAGACTGCTCATCATGGTACTTCACAATGCGAAGGATCGGCATCCTAGGCTTACCGTGCCGCACATGGGACTACTAGTTTTGGACATCCGGGTATCGAGGAAGCATTTCTAAGGGGGTACCAGCCCAAGAGTACGAGCTGCCTCTAGCAGTCCAGAAGCCAGGGGCCTAAAGTACTATTATAGGTTTAGGGTTTAGGGTGTAGGGTTTAGGGTTTAGGGTTGTATACCACTACCAATATTCGAATGCAGCAAAAGAGTTAACAAGCATGAACGAACTACGCTGACATTTCTTTAGAACGAGCTTTGCAACAACAGAGGAACCGATACACCTTGGCCTCAAACCCTAAACCCGGATGGAATAGCAAGCGTAGGCAAGAGGGACCACTGCCAGCATCTGGCATTCGGGTCTGGGGTCACAGGTGTTTAGGGGTTTAGGGTTTCGTGCTTAGGGTTTAGGGGAATAGAGTTTACGATCTCATGTTAAGAAGATGCAAAAGAGATGTTGGCGCACTGGAGACCAAAACCGGGAAGAAATGTCGAACACCCGCAGCAGTCTGTCCCAAGATGAGACGTCGCCAAGATTCTGAACATGTGACCGAAAGGTGCAGAAGGCCTGCAAGTCGGAAAGGGCGGGCAGCGAATGCATTGCATGCAGTTTTCAAATCTTGACATGTGTTTCATAGTCATAGTGTCTGTATGTATGCATGCTTGCGTGCTTGTACTTGCACACTGTCTCGCTCCCTCTCTCTCTCTCTGTCTCTCTCTCTGCTTAGGCATAAGGGGCTTGTCAGATTCCCGGGCATCCAGCCCGTGCTCGAAGGGGGGAGTGAGAGCTCTGACGGGGTACTTGACAAAAACAGCAGAATTCCTTCTCCATAACTCTGTGGGTCTGCAAGTCTGCCACGCTGCTCTACCACACGCGCTCATCTGTATACATCCTAAACCCCAGGAGCCCTAAGCCCTAAAATCCCTAACATAGGGGCCTTGATACTTAGACTAGGGTTTAAGGAGCCCTCCAAAATAGTATAGGTAATTCTTTTCGGACCTTGAAATCCCTAGATCCGACACCTGAAGCCTCCATCATCTTCAGGCCGAGGGCTCTTCGCACCAGGCAGCGGCGCCGCATCATGTCGGCGCGGCTGAGATCCTGGGGTTTTGAGGCTTCGAAGTCTCAAAAAGGCGGTGTCTACCCAGAGGCCCCATAGTAGTTCGTTTTTTTTGTGGATTACCGAATAGGATCCTAAATATACGCCACAAAAAGGCACTACTACAGGGCCTATGTCTAAGCGTGAGGGCTTTAAGGATGAGAATCGGGTAGTATTGGGAGGGAGGGGAGGTCTACTATGGGGGGCCTGAATAGTAAGATGAATGACTTTTGTTTTTTGGGGGATGGCGTATATCATGCTGAAAGTGGGCAGGGAATGTATAGTAAGGCTCTGTGTATGTCTGGGTTCTGAGGGCTTTAATTTCGAGGTCGGTCATCAACGGCTCTCCGGGAATGATCTCCCAAAACATCAAAGTCTCCAAGGAAACCACAGTTGGAAGTGGCCTAAACCCTAAACCCGAAACACGTGACTAGTGTAAGTTCGAAACCTTAGATGTTCTGTAGAGGCCGAGCCTGATGAAGAAGCCCTGGGGTCTTTATTAGGGTTCTTTCCATGAGTCCTAGCATTTTGGGGTTACAGGGCCAGGGTTTCTTAACCAGGTTCCTACATTAGGCGCTGAACCCGAAATGGGAGAAGATCACAGCAAAATACAAGCTCTAAGTCCAGGAGCTCGGATGTCACTGAGGTGTGACAACAGAGCATATAGTACGAGAGCATACTGCTCCCGGTACCGAAGAACCCTAAACCCTAAATCCCAAATCCCCAAAGTAGAACGTTGATAGACCCTATAAATCCCCCTAGGTGCTTCCAATACAAACCTCGCTAGCTTCCACTCTTGGCCCCATTCCAGGCCGTCCCTACGACAGAAGCCTACAGTAGAGACTTAAAACGGGTAATCGTATTCCTTACGGATTTCATGTAATCTACCGAATACTGTGCTCCAAAACCATATTCGTTAAGAGCCCTATATTATAGTGCCCCTATCTTCATCACTTTCGGGACTTGGACCTTATTCAAACACTGCCCGGGGCTCGTAGCAACGACTTCCTAAGCTGGGCCACCCCAAGGTTCAGGATCTCAACTGCTAGAGCAACCTTTTAGGATCTAGGGTTTAGGGAACCTTGGCTTACAACAGCCCAGCCTTAACATGTAAACCACTGCAACGACCTTGTAGTAAACTTATGAAATAACACTGTATAAGCCCCTGTATAACCCCCCCCATGAATACGCACAACACTAAGCCTTATGGACCCTAAACCCTGCCACTCTTCGGGCCCTACTTAAACAACAAAACCCTAAATCTACAAACGTGGCGTTTCGGGTTTAGGGCTTTACCTCTAAACCTTGAAACTTAAACCCCAAGATCCTGAAACCAAAGACACCAAGCCTCTACATCCTAAAACCCTGCAGCCCTACGACCCTAAAGCCTTACGGCCCACTAAAACCCTACAACCCCGCAAGTCCTGAAATCACCAAATCCCCCAAATCCCCTAAACCCACAAAGTGCCAAAAACATCCTAATACCCTCCACCCCTAAGGCGGCTTATAATAGGTTCTAGGATTTTCCGGCTTTGAGGCTCAAAGCCCAAAATAGGGCCCCAGAAAAGCGCTTAAGCAAAAATTAGGATAGGGATATCCCAGACAAACCCCCTTATAATGAAGCCCAATAAGGCAAGGATATCCGTATAAAATCCTTGTCCTTATGTCCCTTTGGGGGTCCCTAACCCAAAACCCTCTGAAACCTCAAAGCCGGGATGCCAAGTCGTCGCGAGCCTCTGCAGCCGCCCTCGCGCGGAGCTCGGCTGCTTCGGCCTGCGAAGGGGTTTTGGGTTTAGGGCTTAGGGCTCAGGGCTCAGGGTTTAGGGTTTAGGGTTTCGGGTTTAGGGCTTAGGGTTTAGGGCTTGTAACGGGCTTGTAGGGTTTAGGGTTTAGGGTTTAGGGGGCGTTTTTGTTTGTTGGGGTTAGGGCCAAAACCCTAAGCCCTAAACCCAGTAATACTGGCTCAGGGCAATTATATGGTGCTGAAGGGCCTCAGAGCTTATCAGGGTTGAGTTCACCGTTTAGGGTCTAGGTCTAGGGTGTAGGTTTCACCAGGGGTTCGAGTTCAGGGCTCAGCACCAATGCAGCAAGGAAGGAAGCGAGCTTTGGGAAACAGCAACGTTCGGGTACAGAGTGGTGCTTTATGTGCTGCAGCTTTGTGGTACAATGTTCGGGTTAGGAATTCTTGCCTAGGATGTTGCTAATTTCGAAGGCTCTCCTGAACCCGAAGCCCACCCTGTAGCCGAAAGTCCCTTACCCTAGACCTATAATATAGAGGCCTTAATAGTTAGAATAGGGCTTTGGGGCCCATTATACTGTAATTACAATAAGGAACCCCCGAAATAATATCGGTAATTATTTAGGCCCCATATTTAGACCTACCCAAAACGCTAAACCTTCAACCCACCCTGAACTCCAAACATCCTAAACCCTAAGGGTCCAAGTGCCCAAATAGTAGGGTTTCAAGGTCCAAAAACCACTCAGAGTAGGGATTTTGGGACCTAAAACCCTAAACCCTAAACCCTAAACCCTCTATTTGGGTACTCGGACCCTCTGGGAAACCTACCCTGAACCCTGAGAACTCAAGAGGCCAGCTTGGGGACTTGGGGCCTATAGAGGCGGGGCGCCTCAATGCACGATACTGTAGGATTATATAAATTATACCTATAAGAAGGAACCCTTAAGGAATAATGTAGGTATAGTTATTTAGGCTTCATAATTATACTTATAAGAAGGAACCCTTAAGGAATAGTGTAGGTATAGTTATTTAGGCTTCTGATTCTATATTACGCTCCTTCGAAGTCGCAGCTCTGAAGTTATGAAGCGGAAACCTCAAAAGCCTGAAGCCAACAGCGAAACCTTAGGCATCTCTCTTCAACAAGCTCGACACCTAAAGCCGAACTCTTCAGGCTTCAAACTCCAGGTAGTTTAGGTTTAGGGTTTAGGAGTTTAGGGTTTAGGATTTAGGGTTTAGGGTTTCGGGTTTAGGGTTGATGGCTTCGGGTTTAGGAGTTTAGGGTTTGGGGTAGATACTACCTTCTCCCGCAGCCTGCACTGCATCCGCTTCGGCTGTGTCCCTTGCAGCTTCCTCGGTCCAGAACTGTCCAAGTGTCTATCGTTCAGCGCTTCGGGATCTGGGGCTTCAGGAGGCGCGCTATTCCAATAACTAAACCCTAAACCATTATAGAAACCCATATAGAACCCCCTAAAGGACCCCCCTAAATAAGCCCTATTCTAATTATTAAGGCCCCTATATATATATATATATATATATATTATAATATTAGGAACCCATAATTTAGAAGCCCCCTGCATCACCATCCGCAGAGCGAGCGCTCCTGAGAAGAGACATCCTCCTGAAGAAAGAAATAGAGTGCATTCTCTTTTCGGGTTTAGGGTATTTCGGGAACCAATGGGAAACACAAAATCGCAAAACACCAACATTGAAAAAACATCGGCATGAAACAAACCGAAGAACCCATAGTTATGTCAGGGGGTCAGTCTTCGGTCCTTCGAAGTGTGACGCGGTGGCGTGCACGTAGAAGCTGCTAGTTTGGGGTTTCATAGTTTCTGCGTTCAGGGCTTCTAGGTTCCCCAGTACACCCTTAATAATAAGTGTACCCTTTTTCCTACCATTTGGTTTTGATAAGAGAACCCAGAAAAAAAAGGGCAAAAGGGTACTACTGGGGAACCTAGGCTTTAGGGCTGGCAACTCTCAAGCCGGCAAGTCACCTGCGCCAAGCGCTGCAGAGTGCTCTGCTGCTCAGAGAGCAGCAAAACCAGCTGCTCCTGCTTGCGAGAGACCCGCAGCAAATACGTGGCTGGTGCGGGGAAAGCAGGAACAGGCACAGGAAGTTAGAAAAGGAAGGAACTAGAAATGATGTAGGCGCCGTAATCATTAGAAAATGGTTTTGGCCGCAGTTATAGCAGAGCAGTATAACTCTAGTAAGGAGGCCTAAGAATCATACGGGTAATCATCCAGGCTTCTGCATCAGTCACGGCGGCAGCTTCAGGTATAACAGGATAGCCCCTCGCTACCCCAAGTCCAAGTACCAATATAGTAGGTTTTTAGTAGGTATTTGGGCTCCAAAGTATATACTATGCTGTTATTTGGACCCTTTGGGTACTTAGGATACCCTGAACCCTAATACACCTTAAACCCGCATTTAGGGTTATACATTTTGGCGTTTAGGGTGTTTAGGGTTTACGAGCCGATGCCTACGTAACTATTAGGATGGCATGGCACCGTGGAGGTGAGGGACTTCTGTCACTTCGGGATGGCGTGCTTAGCTCGTAGCCCCCCCTAGACACAAGCCTGAACTCCTACGGTAAACCCGAACTGAGCAATAACACAACCATAAACCAATACTACTGATATCTGATCATAGCGAAGATAAACATGTAACATACAACGCGCACACACACAGATACTAATGATAATGAATAATGCCAGTAACAATAACAGTAGTTCAAGTAACTCTGTGGCCACGAACGAGAAAGAGAGACAAAGAGAGAGCTGGAGAGAGAGCAGACGAACCCTCTGCGCCCGGCACAGACAGCAGTGGACCCGTGGTGGATAGAACAGTCAACAAGCCTCACTAAACACGGAACCTCGTTCTCCTAGAATGGCACTTCCCTTGATTGAGAAAGGCCCCTTCATGCCCCTTCACCTGTACACACCCCTTCCCTCTCAACCACATCTGATTATTGCAGCATGAGCTTGTTAGTATACTGTACATACTATAACATATCATTCAATATACTCTAATACAAGACTTTCCTTCTCCGAGCGGGCAGCGGCCAGCCGGCGCTGGCCCTCTGCCAACTCCTGAGTAAGGGCATGAGTGAACTGGTGCTAAGAATTCAGCGCTTAATATTATCATTACTATCATGATTGTTCTTTGTTGCTGTTGTTGTTGCTATTATTGATCGCCGGCTGTCGTTCTCACTAACAGCTGCCTTTAGTCTGTTCTTATGTACCACCCCAATGCAACCATTGCAGCTAGTGCTGCTAAACTACTACAGTACTCCTCCCCTCCTAACTGCTGCTTTTGCTAGACGACGAAGCTAGTAAACCTGATGAAGGTATTTGCGCAACCACTGAACCCAAGTAAAGGCACACGGGGGGACAGCATGACAGACAAGACCGCAGCTGCACACTCCTCAAGGAATATATGAGTAGATGCATATGCGCATTTCACAGATGCAAACGTACATATGCATGTGAAAACACATACGTCTCGACCTGGCCAAAGAAGGGACAAAAACGCAGACATGAACACATAGTTACCCAAGTGCTTACTTTAAAGCTTATAGTCTATGGATGAAAAGCGTTACACATGATTAATTTTTAACCTATGCATAAAATGCTCAAAATGAAGCCGTCCGCCCCAAACTCCAAAATCCCAAGCTCTATGCCCCAAAACGCTAGCCTAAACCCAAACCCTGACCAACTCTGAATGATAAAATGCGAAACCCTAAACCTCCAAACTCTTGTGGCCCAGAAGCGTCAGCTTTTGATCGGACCTCCTGACTGAGGGCCTGTCGGATTCAGAAATTTCGGGTTGAAGGGTTTAGGGTTTAGGGTTTGGGGTCTAGGGTTTAGGGTTTAGGATTCAAGAGACTCGGGTTGAAGGGTCAGAAGCGTGAGGGTTTAGTGTGTTTCACGAGACGGTTCCTTCTGACATCAGAAGACTCAGCATGTGTTCATTTATAAACAAGACGAGACTGCCGTCTGTGTACTCCTGGAAAAGCACGCCTTCGAGCAATGATGCGACATGCTGCGAACGCTACACCCTCAACCCTGAACCCTAAACCCTAAACCCTAAAACCCTAAACCCTAAACCCTAAACCCTGAACCCTGAACCCTAAAAGAACCTAACTCCACACTCCATACCTAGAGCCGCCCACTCCGCAGCCTCCTAAAGTCGCAAGGCCTATAAACCCCAACCCCATAAGCCCCCGGGTTCAGGCTTTAGGGATTAAGGCTTAGGGTTTAGGGTTTTAGGGTTAGGGTTAAGGGTTTAGGGATTAATGTTTAGGGTTCAGGGTTTAGGCCTTAAGCTTTAGGGTAGAGGGATTAAGGTCTAGGGTTCAGGGATCAAGGCTTGGGCTGAAGAGCTCTAAGCCCTAAGCCCCCTTTTGGCCTCCTAAATCGTTTAAAGGGGCCTGAATGATTGGACTCGATTTTTGGGCCAAGCTATAATCGAATTGATAATTCCTGCATATATTATAGTGGGGAACCCAAAAAATACTAGTAGTTATCCCGACCCTCTAAACCCTAAACCCCGAACCCTATAAACCTTAAACCCCTAAACCCCAAACCCTAAACTCCGAACCCAAGTCCGGAAGCCTCTGCCGCATCCTCTTTCTCTTGACGTTGAAGCGCGAGCCGTGAGGCGGACCGGTGCAGGTCCCGAAGCTTGGCCTCCGCGTCTTCCGCTCTCCGTGCCGAGAGCGTAGGAGATGCACACATTTTTTACGGGTTTTCGGTTTTGAGGCTTTAGGTTCAGGGTTTTAGGGTTTAGGGCCTAGTTTAGGTTTCGGGATTTTAGGGTGTTGGGCTTCGGGGTCCGGAGTGTGGGGTTGAGGGATTGGAGCTAAGGGTTTGGGGTGCCGTCTGAACAAATGGATAGTGGACATGTTAACACATTCGCCATGTACACATGAACACCAAACTCGGCAATATCGCCTGGCATACTCACATATGTGCCAAAAGCTCAATGCAGCATGGCTTAGGTCTTAGATTAACAACGTCTGCGCCTTGATTAAACACGGCAGGCCCCACATGCCCCACCCCAAGGAACGCTACCGGCCCGCTGGCATAACAACTGCTATCAACCAACTACAAACAGCATGACTAAGACCACGAAGACTCAGCACAAAAATGTACAAAATTGGAGACGAGCGTCGGGGCAGGGAACATGAAGAACCAAAAGGGGATTACGACGCGAGGGCCACTGGCAGCATCGAACACTATGATGACGATACAAGCAACCGAGATCTTGCACGCGCACACACAAACACACAAACACACACACACACACGCGCGCGCGCGCGTGCACGCAGTTGTCTGCCAGGCCTCATGAGCCGCGAAACCCCAAGCCCCAAGACTCTGACACTGCTCCCCCCTGAACCTGAGCCTCAACCTCAGCTCGAACCTTTGCCCTACACCTTAAACTAAACCTACACAGCAGGCGACGAGGGTGCCTCTAGCACGTGGCGATCCTGCAGGGACTGCTGCAGGCTCACCGTGAGCCGTGTCATCCTTGCGGTGATTAGGGTTTAGGTGTTTGAAGTTTATAGGCCGTGGCCCCAAAACCTACAATTTTAAGGAGTTCTGTATAGAAACCATAATGAGGAAACCTAAGAAGGTAGGGCTTTTCGGCTGCCGGCTGCAGCTACATTTTGGGGATTACAAGATTCAGGGCTGAGGCGTTGAGTGTTCCGGCTGTTTTTGTTCAGAGTCTTTAAACCAACATGGCTTCTGCGGTAGGTTTTAAAAGCTTTAGGGTTCAAGCCGGTGTAGGCTGAAGGCTTCGTTCGGGCTGGGTAGGGTTCGTCGATGATTGGTGCTGAGGGCCTCGCAGGGTGCAGGCGTATGTAAGGGTGACACGATGTATGCACAATAGAAGTATATGTGCATATAAATGTACACATTAGCCATGTAGGTCTGCTCATATGTGTATGTATGTGTATATGTATAGGTGTATGTGTATGTATGTATGTATGCATGTATGCATGTAGGCATGGATGCACGTATGTATTTATGTACGCATGTAGGTATGTAGGTATGTCTGTATAAGTATCTGTATAACCCAGACACACACACACACACATGTATGTGTGCACATACATATATATATATATATACACATGCATAAATACGTATCGGTAATGCGTGTGTGTGTGTGTGTATTCGCAGCAAGCGGCTTAGTGTGCAAATGCTGCTGAGCAACTCTTCCTCTGCCGCTTCTGCTTTCGCTTGCCGTCCTGACTTGCAATATGCCCGGACGCATGACTGGCAGAAATACTACAAGAATCTTAACCACCCTAAACACTAAACCCACTGTCTTCATCAAGGCTCAAATGCTTGAAAGATTCAGGGATTCTGGCTCACACCATTGGGGCCCTTGGTTTTGCCAGCTTAAACGGGGCCCAAGTGCTTTGCACGGTGAGGATTCCTGCAGTGGGAGGGGAACTTGAAGGCGAGTGTCTCGGGCGCACGTCACATTGACAAAATAACTAGCTTAATTAACGAGATCTAGCTTAACCCTAAAATCTAGGACCTACTGTTGATGACATAAATCCTGCATGACCTTTAGGACCCGAAACTATGGGAATTATGGTCTATTCCTTCCTACGGGTAATGCAGGATTTACATCATCAGCCGTATTGCACTCTACTGCGGTGCCCATCTTATTCTATCTGATCCTAAACCCTAAACCCTAAACCCTAAACTACCTTATCTTGGCAGATTGAAGTCCGGAGGGCTTAGGGCTTAGGGTTGTTTTAGGGTTTAGGGACCTCGCTTCTTTGGGGCAAGCTACCTCCCCACGAATAGTCAGCTGAAGCCCAACATATTGTATTATGTTGTACTATGTTATATTACCATGTGATGATACTGCCATATCATATTACTATGCTATATTGCTGTGTTAGATTGTACCATAGTATATTACTAGGTATATTACTACAGTATATTGTACTATGATATATTACTACAAAACTATGTTGGCTGTATGGCAAGGATTCGGGCCTTCGCTTGCCGAGGATACTTCGGATCTAAAGATCAGCTGGTCCCCAACTGTCCAAGGACTCGTGGGTTAAGGCTTGTGGGCTCCTACGACATCGGCCCTAAACCCTACACCCTAAACACGTAAAAAGGCCCTAAACCCTACACCCTGAACCCTGAAACCTAACCCCTAATTCATCCTAATTCCCTACATAGGCCCTAAACCCTAGACCCTGAACCCTAAAGAAACCCTACTTCCGGACTAGTTTGAGGCTCATGGTCACGAGCAACAGCCAAGCGGCTCTGCTGCACACGAGCGACTTCGTTGTTCGAGTCCTTTCTGATGCAACTAGTCATGTTTAGGAGACACCTTCCAAACATGGAGCCGGAAGCCAGAGCAGCAGCATTGTTCGCACCGGTCCTTCCTACAACTGTTGACAGATTCGCAAACGACACCTCTAACAGTAGCTGCGACGGCTCAGGCATTGGGTCATGCTTAGGACAGCCAGTAGCTGCGACGGCTCAGGCATTGGGTCATGCTTAGGACAGCCACAATTGGAGTACCTATGCACCAACTTGGCAGCAAGACCCCTGATAGTAGCTCTGACCACATATTGCCAAACTTACAGTCAGCTGCAAAACAGAGAACATGGGTTGGGAATGTTTCTGTTGTGGGATACTCCGCACTTTACTTTCCATGGCATGAGAGGCATGAGGATAATGTAGGGACCTTAATAATTAGAACCGGGTTTTGGGGCCCATTATACTATAATTATAGTAAGGAACCCCTAAAATATTATAGGTAATTATTTAGGCCCCTACATCAGTGAATTTCCAACTGTCAGACAGTTGGAAGTGGAAGCCATTCAGTCTGGCTCCTAAATCACAACCGTAACCGCCCCCAGGCCCGAAAACCTGAACCACGTGACTACCCTGAACACAGGCAAAAACCCCTAAAGCTATAAAGCCCCTCTCATATCGGCTCTTACAAGAACTTTATAGCTAACCCCTAGAGTAACCCTTAAAGTACTCTAGATCGAGGCTTCTGGAATCCTCGATGGCTTTCTTCAAGCTGCGCTCGACGACCAGCTGACGCTCCTGCAGGGCCTGCGAAGATATGGGTCTAGTTTTGGAGCCGGAATACTCACCGTTGAGCAATAGTATTACTAAGCATTCAGGTATGTTATTTGTAGGGATGAAGGCTTGGGGCTTCTAGGGCTTCGGCCTTATAGCGGCCTAGACCAACGAAAACACGGGATGTGTGCGTGTGATATCTGATGAAACGCAATCCGATGTACCCGTGACGACAGACCTTGTCGTTTGACATCTTCGAAGAACCTCGCTGCGCCAGTCTTGCTTGATATCATGGCTGTGCAAGAAGATACCCCGAGACCCTATTCAATATTACAAAGGCCCCTACATTAAACTCTACACAACCTGTACAGCCCTATGAAACTAAGCAGTGAGTCTATGCCGGCATCAGCTCAGAGGCAATCAGGGGTGTGGTGTGTCTTCGTTTGTACGCTTGCGCGGCGAGGGAGATGGAGAGGGAGAGAGAAGACTAGGGAGAGAGAGAGAGAGAGAGAGTGAGAAAACAAAAACTCACAAAACTCAGCAAAGGCGAAGCATGATTGAGGATATGTATTTACATGGGTATGTGTATGTATGTATGTATGTTTGTAGGTGTGTATGTATGTGTATATATATATATATATACATGTACAGATTCTCTTCTATTCTAATCTATCCTATCCCCATTCTATTATTGTAATGTACTCCGTTCTATTCTATTCTATTCTATTCTTTTATGTTGTTCCACTATACTGTATACTATACCCTAGTATACTATAAGTACTATATCATATCATATTGTACTGTATCTACATATCACGCGTTTAATGTTTGTGTACCTATGTATACACACATGTGCATACATGTACAGATCTACATATTGCAGAGGGAAGACGGACAGTCGGCTAGTCGACAAAGCGATGTTTCGGTAGATAGACAAAACGAATCGATGAGGGATGGCGTCATGGAACGACTTTTCGGTTCTTCCAACACTAGGCTATCACATGAACCCTAAACTCTAAACTCTAAACCCACTAGGCTACCACGTGATGGATTCCCGTCGACACATGTTCACTGCAAGACCATCTTGGAGGCTCAGTTGGAACTAGTAGCTCTAGTTAGTCGAATACAATCTGTATAATATCCCCAGCAACTCATCCTGCAAGCTCTAATATTACAAGTAGTATTCAAGTCAACTGACAACCGAGACCCAACCGAGAAATACTAAAACCCAAAACTCTTGAACCCTTCGATTATAAACTTGGCAGCCTCTAGGCGACGCAACTGCGCAGAGCTCTGGCGCGCCGCGATCTTGCCAGCGGAGATGCTTTCACAATGTTTCTGGAAGCAACTGGCACTAGGTAACTGAACCTTAATATTGAAATTGATCTTGCTTGATCTCAGGCTACCATGCTACAAGTCTTCACACTCCCTGCTGTGGTGTACCTTTGCAACCCCTCTGCAAACGCATCCTTCAAGTTTAGCACTATAAGGGTTACCACGAGGGTTGCTGTAACGGGGTAGTATAAGGATTAGTTACGGCAACTCGTGCACGCTCGTGAAGGCCGTGCTAAGAAGGGTTCATGCGGCATGTCGTACCGACATGCTGAACCTACCGTCCAGACTGTAGGTCATATAATCATGCATGAGGGCAACCCGCTGCCAATTCCGCAGAAGCCCTGGCAAAGACCACAAACACAAAGGCACGAACAAGCCAAGCTTCATGACTTGCAGGGCCCACAGGAGTCAGTTAATCATCAGAGATCAATAAGATTGACGGACTTCAACTGCCCTGGCTGCTTTTTGATACATCAACCTTACACCCTACTAAAACCCTAAACCCCAGTAGAGAAACGGCCAACATCAGGTCTGCCTGGCTCTGGCTGCGCACAGGGGCATTTCGGAAGGCCATGTTGACGGAGCATTGGAGGGGCAAGCGTGAGCTTCAGAGCCCCAAACCCTACAGCCCCACCCTCAACTACCATAACGTACCTGTCTTTCGCGATGCCATGCTAGAAGGTGTCTAAGGTAGGGGCCTACCTTACTACCAATATTATTCTATTCTGGGGGCTCCTTATTATAATTCTGGTATAAGGGCCCCAAAACCCTATTTTAATTTATAAGGCCCCTATATTAAATTATTTGGGGTCCGGCAGCAAACTGTTGCATCCAGGGCTCCAGAGTTTCGAGGGTGTTGCGGTTTGTGCAGATGCTTGCGATCTCTGCTCTATCTGTCTTGCTGGCTATCGACCTTTCTGTGTATCTCTTCACGAATCTGACTGTCTACTTATATCATTGCGAAGCTTAGCGACTTAGTGTCTCTTCGCCGGTGTTCTCTCTCGCTCTCTGTTTCTTTGCACCTGCCGGTCTGTCTAGTCTGCCCAGCTGTCCATCGCACTGCATATCGGCAAACATCCCATCTCCATCTTGTTTTCTGTTCGCGCTCACTTTCTCTCACTATGCCGTTGACATCTTACGTAACCGTTTCTCAGCGTTGCTATGATCAGCGATTGCGCTTTGAGCCATTGGCAGGGCTTGCTTTCTCACCCGCTAGACTTGAGTGCCGTCAACCTTCAGCAGGGTTTGGACTTCTTGAGAGTCTCATGGGCTTCGGCCGTGATAGAGCCTCCGGGGTACATGCTAGGATATGACATCATGAGAAATGGCAGTACAGCCCAAAAGTCATCAGTACCGGCATGAAACGCAATCATCGAAAGCTCTGCGTTGGTTAATGACGGTGAGCACTTGAAAAAATCTCTCGCATCCAAGTTGACGAAAGTGACAGGCTTCCGGGACCTCTGGCGCGGAACACACGAACGGATAATTCCTCGGTCTGAAGAAACGAATTGTGCAGTGACTCTTGCTTGTTGCGACTCCATCTTATTCTCAGCATCATAACCTAAAGGCTCCACTTAACTTCTGCGCTGCGATATTATACTGGACAGCGCGTCTTGTGGAAGAGGTAGAAGAAGAATAAGAAGTAGTAGTAGTAGTAGTAGTAGTAGTAGTTGTTGTTGTTGTTGTCGTAGTAGCGGTGGCAGCAGCAGTAGTAGTAGTAGTAGTAGTAGTAGTAGCAGTAGCAGTAGCAGTAGCAGTAGTAGTAGTAGTAGTAGTAGAAGTAGTAGTAGTAGTAGTAGTAGAAGCAGAAGCANNAGCGGTGGCAGCAGCAGTAGTAGTAGTAGTAGTAGTAGTAGTAGCAGTAGCAGTAGCAGTAGCAGTAGTAGTAGTAGTAGTAGTAGAAGTAGTAGTAGTAGTAGTAGTAGAAGCAGAAGCAGTAGTACTAGTAGTAGTAGTAGTAGTAGTAGTAGTAGTAGTAGCAGTAGTAGTAGCAGTAGCAGTAGCAGTAGTAGTCGCAGAAGTAGTAGCAGCAGAAGTGATAGTAGTAGTAGTAGTAGTAGTAGTAGTAGTAGTAGTAGGAGTAGCAGTAGCAGCAGCAGCAGCAGTAGCAGCAGCAGCAGCAGCAGGCAGTAGTAGTAGTAGTAGTAGTAGTAGTAGTAGTAGTAGTAGTATAGTCGTCGTCGTAGTAGTAGTAGCTTCAGA